CCCCCCCCCCCCCCCCTCCAAGCTCGGGTAAATAACGATCAGTCGCGCTGAATCGCTCCGAGGTACACGAGAATAAAAGGTAGTGCGCGAAGAAAAATAAAAGAGATTGAATTCGGGGCAGCCCTTGTGGTGTGCACTCTTCGACCTTAATCGTTTTTCTCAGGATGGAGGACACGAAGACGCGATTTGTTACGCCCACCAATGCTGCGTTAAACATTGTCGCAATGAGCGAAACAAAAAAAAAATTTTTTTTCTCAGAAGGAGGGATGCGTTAATTAATAATGGATATTGTTAATCGATTGTTTCAGGAGAATGGCTGTTTGTACTCACACATACGGTGGGGCGAGGCATTCGTCATCGTCTACAGTGTGACTTGCAAACGCAGCTTTCAAGAGGCACGGGGACTTCTCAAACAGCTGGCTGATCTTCGTTTACCATCGTACTTCACTGCCCTTCTACTCGGCAACAAACGAGACCTCGATCATGCACGGTGAGTCATTATGATGCTGAATAAATGATCAAGTTAAGTACTGAAATAAATCCAAGAGAAAAAAATATTTGTTTTATTCAACAATTTTTCCTTGTTTTTCTTCTTAAAAATGAGATTTTCATTGAATATACAGCAGAAATTACATACATGGAAATAAAAAATGCTAACAATGCACAACTTTCAACCAACTCCCCCCTGTTTGTTGGCATTATTCTCAGCTGGAAGCTGTACTGTTTGAATAAACCAGAAAATTATGTTTTAAATACGAGCAGTAAAAGCGGTTGGAGTGCATAACTCCCGTTGTAACGAACATAAATAAGATAAATCAAATTCACAATCAAATAAATTTTCTTTGAAATCGATTGAATTCTTTTAGCATCGGATTAACACAGTTTCCCAATGCTTGTTTTACATTTACTTTTTTCATTTATCTATTTTTGTCGTCGGCTGCAAGACAAATGGGTGTATTAATAAACCATAAGAAAATAATAAAGATGTGAAATTTTATTTCATTTCATTGAAAAATTCATCCGCTTTTTTTTCCCGTCAGGCTGAATTGAATGGATTTCTCAATATGTCTGATTTTTCAAAGTATTTTGGCTTGAATGAGTTAATGTGGCCAAGGAGGGAGGTTGGCTCACTTTCCACCTTGCGCCAGCGTGTAATAGGATCTGAGCGTCGCGTTTCCTGGATGATTTCGAAAAGGCGGTCGTTCTCATTGCACGCGACTTTAAAATCTTTTATTTTCCCTCTCTCACCGATCAATCTGTTCTCTCTTTGAGTTTTAATTTTCAACTCGAACATTTATCGTTGGTCTGTCTGGTCACTTAGAAAACGCAATCTACAACTTAATTTATTTAAATTTTTATTACAATGAGAGATGTAAATTTCATGATTTTTCTGCCCTCCGGCCGGAAAGCGTCAACTTCCTGGCCGCGGCGCCAAACGAAGTTGCCACTTTCCGGCTGCGTCGAGCAGAAAAATAGTATACACACCTTGGCCAGTAAATATAAGAAAGCCTCAGATCACATGTTTGTCGACCTCGGCTTCGCCTCGGCCAACAATTACATGTGATCTGAGACATTCCTTACTTTACTGGCCGAGGTGTGTAATCTACTATTTCATATATTTTTCATATATATATAAAATTACAATTTTTTGTAAAATAGTCATGAAAACAACAATGAAATTACTCTCCCCTTTATTCATATTTCATTCAACCTGACACTCGATGGCATAAAATACATAATACCTTTGGTTAAAAAAAAAGTCCCCTGAAAATCTGAACACGTATCTTGAGATTCGAGCAAGATGTTAACGTCTCTCCGAGTCGCACATTACAATTCGACATTCCTCTTTCGTTCAGCGTTCGCCCATGCAGAAAGCCACCGTTAAATATAAATAATAAAAAAAAAAGCGAAAAATCGCTGACTAAAAAAAAAATGTTCGAGAAGAGAGGGAGAATCAAAGTGCAATAAAGAGTACCACTGGAACAGAAATAAAAGAGAGGGAGCCTGCAAGTACGAGAAAAAGAAAATTGAAGAGAAGGAGAAATACAAGGAGGAATGAGTGTTTTAACCAGTTTTCTGCCCATTTGCCCTGTTGACAATTTCAAGATCCCGGTGCACCGATAAGTTTATTAATATGCAATTTAACGCCGGATATATTATACACACAGCTCGTCGCCATTTTGCATTCGACATAGTTGTCCCGTCGGTTCATCTTCTCTTTTATTCTTTTTCCACGCTTTTTCCTAATCTTTATGGACCTCCATTAAGGCGACGAGTGGCAACTACTGGTGATTTTTACCTTCGAAATAAAATTTACGGGATTGAGAATAAACGAGTTGGAAAAAAAGAATAAAAAAAAAAAAGAAAATGAGTGCTAATAAATGTTAAGGGATGTGGCCTGCCTGTCCAAGCGTACAAACCAATGAACTCTTTCTACCGGTGTTTTCTTTCTTTATTTATAATTCTCGTTAAAACCACGACCTTGTCGTATATGAGACGCCAAGGAACGTTTATCACCGTGTCATAAAGACAGGAATGGCAATTAAATATTTTACCGAATCTTTTTCCGCCCAATTTAAATATGCATAATTTGAATTTTTGTAGTTTCGTTCATGAATTCAACCCCAGTTTTCAAGCTTTTTCTTTAGTTTATTAATTGAAAAGAAGAAGATATTTTCATTAAATTAAATGCATAAATTATTCTCGAGCGGCGGAAGTGCATCCGGACAAATGACAGTATTAGGGTATGCTCGACCGTGAACCACTGCACAACCAAGCACACTTGTATTCTCGTATTGCTACTCACGTGGGTGATGATTCGTGATATAAAATAGGCCGACGGATTAACGGTAGTGAGACATAGTGCATTTTAAAAACAACTGGCATTCTCGTATACGCATATCCATCGGAATGAAAATTGTGTGTTGAACAACCACCCACGCCATCATCCTCCACTAACCGAGAGGAATTCACGAATATTTCAGCATGTATTCGTGAATTTAATTGCACTCATAAATATCTTTTTAAGTTGGCCGTCTGGAGTTCAATGGTACTCTTGGATTCTTAACCCTCTGCATTTCACTTGAGATACTTGCATATGCATACTTATCTCTCATCATTATTGTTAATTGTTAACACTCTTACTGCGATGAGATTTGATAAAATCAAATGCTTCATTGGCCTCTTCTGTTTTGTTAAATTGCAGAGAGGTGTGTGTAGACGAGGGTCAACAGCTGTCTCTAGCCCACGGTTGTCAATTCTACGAAGTGAGTGCCGCCGAGAGTCCCGCGGGTGCAGCTCTAGCCTTTCAAGCGCTGCTGCGTGAAGCGCGATCGGTTCAATTACTTCGGGCCCTTCCAATAAGACGAAAACTCGGTGTCCACTCGGTGTCGAGAGTTCTAGGCACAATATTCGGTAAGAACACGACGAAAGACAGGAAGAAGAGGCCATCGTTGAGCATATGACGCCTCCTGTGCGCCCTCCTGCTCGGAGGACGTGACGAACCTGAGAAACGCACTAATGTCATTGTTCTCAGCAGCAATGTCTACGCCAATCGTTGAGTAACATTTGTCCCCGGGGATGGAAAGTCCTCGGGTTGTGCTATCGGTGGTTCGTTACGCCTCAGCCCTCACTCATCTCTCGGGGAGGATTCGGAGATGTAGGCTCTCTCCTTGTGGAGTTTGGACTTGACTTCATGCCGGAGAAATTGTCAAATTAATGCGGAGGTCGCACGAGAATCAGTTGAAAGTCGAGATGAAGACTACTGGGACCTGAATTGCGATGAGGTGTGCAATTGATAGTGAACAACTGGTGTTCTTCAACAGTGAAACCACCACCTTATTTTGTGAAATTGAAATTGAATTGAATCAATTGTCAAGTGGTGCGAATTCCATTTCTTGAACACCATTTTTTTTTTATTGCAAGTTTTATATTGCATGAAATGATTTTTAAAAAATGAGGAAAAATCAAAAAGTTACAGTCATAATGCAGGTATTTTGGATGCAACATTTTTCATTCAATATTCATATCCAGCAACAAGAAAATTTAATTCTGAATCGGATAATAAATAAATGAAAAAATGCCATTTCGTGGCAGTTATGTGATATCCCTTCAACATCCTCATACCCCCCAATAATGTAAAAAAATTCCACTCTCATTCCAATTAATCAGAAAAATCGTATACAATTTTGTATTCATTACAAACTGTCATGTAGCTTTTTACCCATTGGAATTAATGTTTTGAAACTCGCCCATCCACTGCCATTCATTTTACTTAATTTTTCCTGCCCAATGTAAAAAAAAAAACGAAAGAAAAAAACCAAGTGTCCAACGTGTCCGGATGGCCGGAGAAAACGGTACGAGGAGGCATCGTCAATTCACTTTCCAAAATTTTATATATACAACAGTGGGAGAAAAAAGAAGATGTATCCACGTTTCACTTAATGCTTGAATTAATTGTTGCCCGATGACGTTGTTTCGTTGGTGATTAAAATGTCAGTGTACCGAGTGAATGAGGGATGCTCCTAAGTCGATTATTTTTAATGATATGATTATTTGCAATTTTTTGAAGATAAATCCAAGGCACTTATTGACTATTTCCATTTGTCTTTGTAAATAAAAAAATATTTATCTGTTGATTCCTTCATCGAGAAATAAAAAGGGTTGAACAATTTTTATCGCCAGAAATTCTTGATCCTTATCACTTGGATTTTCTTGAATGCCATGAGTGATTACAGTGTGAGAGTTGATGTTTATATTTTAATGATAAAACAGATGATGTGCTGCTTCTTGCGTCACCTTGATGAAGGTTGCTTTACAATTAAGACTGTAAAACTTTCTTGTGTACATAGTGTGATTATGGAGTGCCTTAATAAAGGCCAATGATTATCGATAGGTCGATGTTAAATACATTCCAAAACAATTTGATGATTTTTGCAAATTGATAATGTATTTGAGTGCTAGTCACTTGGATTAAATTGATGAATAAATTTTTTTTTTGTTAAATTTGAACAAAAACTATGGTGTTTTGAATAATTATCCTGAATATCCTTATTTTTATTTCTCATTTTTATTTATACTCGTCACGTTGCATTCCATTCACTATTCATCAAAGTCATGATATTAATCAAACGATTTAATTGTCATTTTGTGTCTGTGTTGATGAATTAATTGGCAAAGTACAAGATAAAATATAATGAAGTATGAAAACATTTCTTTCTCAGTTAATAATCGTCGAGTGAGTAGCGACCGGTTTGGAGCCACCGTTTGGCCCCTTTGGCGGATTCATTTCGATGTGACCTTGACCTTGATTCGGATATGTTTTTGGTCCTGCAAGATTTATTCCTGATAAATTACGCATTATTAAGGATTTTTTTGCCATTTTTGGGATGATTGAAGTGATGTCATTAAACTTTTCAAGATTGATATTCCCAAATCAAAATGCATCCTGGACTAAATGTGAGATATGCATCATGGATTGAATGGGCAGTATTAACATTTTTAGAGTGATATTGATAAGAAAAATTTGCTATAATAAAATTAAAATAATTTTCCTCACTTTCCAATGGAGTTCCTTCACCTTAAAATATTCATCAAAAAATATGAAAAAAAAAAAAAAAAACAAAGAATGACACCACTCAAATGAATACAAATTTTCTCTCATCTGAGAGCTGAAAATTGCGGTCGTGAATAAAAATAGCCACAGCACGGAGCACGGGTTGAGATTTCAGTGTGACACATTGGTCCAAGACTAATTGACGGGTTGACTCACTGAACGATTTACCATACTACAAGTCGAACAAGTTCTAGATGTTTTGTGCGAATAATCCCAGGAGTGTGTGTGTGTGGGGGGGGGGGGGGTTCATCCTTGCTATTCGGGCCAAGGTTTTGGGCTCACCGGAGTGTGGCACATCTTCGCTGAATCTCTTTCATATTCCAAAATAACACCGCAAAATGCGTTGAACTGTGGATGTAAACATACTCCCTGTCGTGAGCTGGGGTTATTAACGCCTCGTGAAAAAATGAATGAATAAAAGAATAGAAAGAGAAAGAGAAAGAGAGAGAGAGAGAGAGAGAGAGAGAGAGAGAGAGAGAGAGACAGAGAGTGTGTAGGATCGTTTATCAATTTTCACTGTGGCCTTGGCTTCCTTTTTATCATTGTAAATAGAGCAAAGTGTACTTCACAAATGGCAAATTTCATGGACAATTGACTAGTAATTTTCAGGAAAGTGATACTAAATTCGATTTCGAGGTTAATAAATAATGAAATTTCAAATTACACTGAAAATGAAATAAAATTCCAAATTTTTGAGTAGTAGAAAAACGAGAGTTCCCCAACTATTAACTTGAATTTTCACTCTGAAATTTCAGTGAAACTGTGTGATGAAAATTTCCAAAAAGTGTATGTTAATGAAATGTTTTTCATAAAAAAAAAAAAAAAAAAAAAAAATAAGTTTGCTATAAAACGGTATTATACTGTACTATAATTCAAATTGAGAGAATGGTGTAAGGGCATTTCACATATGGTCATGAGTAAAATAAGACAGAGTAGTAAGAGAGGAGAAGGAGGAGTACAGTGGTGCCTTGTGCGGTTGCATCTGAAGTCGTGACTCAAGCCAAGGTCGTAGGTCGTAGTTGCGCCTGCACCTTGCCACCTATCCACCTTCGGATGCTAAGGGGGGTTATAACCAGGGATATACATATAGGAGGAACTAAGCGTGCAGTCTTATAGTCTAGCCTCGGGCGAGAGTTTGAAATTTAATACATGCGCATAACTCCCTCTCCTTGCACTACCCCGGCATATATATATATATAATCCGTGTTGTAAACTCTTCAGGCCCAGCTAAAAGGGATGCAAGTTAAACTCGTGCACCTTTTCACTTGTCCTTTTGGAGCAATACGGACGCCCTCTGATTGTGCAGAGGCTCTACTGCACGCCAATTCTTGGAAACATGGTTTTTAATGTATTTTATTCATCGCTTGTCCAACATTTTTTCATCGTGGAATAAAATTAGTAGCAAAGTTGTTCAATGGAAGATTATCTTGAAAATGTCAAGAGAATGTTAAAAAAAAAGAAGGGGAAAAAATTGTCCATCAACTGGTACAATAGAAAATATAAAGGTTCACATGAAAATAGCAACGCATTGACCTCTCGACATACGATCGATACTCATCGACACCCCTGAGGGTCTGTAATAATCTAGAGTAAGACGTGTGCATTAAACCAAGGCGAATTCAACGTGAAGTGTGAATTTTCCCTAGCTCGTAACCGAGCTTTTGCAAACCTCTGCAGACATTTGAAATTGAGAAACCCCTCGCAACACCTAAGGGACTTTGACTCGGCGACAATGTCCAAACAGGATGGAAGGAATAGAGAATTTGCCGAGCGTTGGCTGCATAAACTCTAAAACTGAGAATAGTAATAAATTAACGTGGCTTTATCGACGCAAAGGGAACGTTTATCTTCGGTATAAGATGAAGTAGAGTAGAGATTGGTTGGTCTTAGCATTGGGTATAACACTCGTTTGAGAGTTTCTTTTGGACAAAAAAATTGAGAGAACGGCCAGCAGTTGGTAATACGACACCTCAACCTGACTAGCGAGGAATGTACTATGTTGCCTGCGTACTCTTTAACATGAAGGGGTAAAAAAATAAGAAAAAACAAAAAAAGGGGAGAGAAACACCAAGTTGGAATCTCTCGCATGTCCCGAAACACCTGGTAATTCTAAACCCGATTTTTAAAATGCCCCCCCTCGCCAATCGTCGCCTGTCACGCTTGTATTATTCTCACATTTTTTGGTTTACATATTGAGACGTTGAGTTTGGTAGGCTCACCATTGACGTTATTCAAATTCGTGTCTTGACAATGTCTTAATTTAATGTCAATGTGTATTAGCTAAATTAGCTAATTTCTTTTTGTGAAATTATGAATTACCCCTATTTGTATTTGAGATATGCCATCAATGTTTTGACGCTGAGAGTAACTCGAGATATCGAGCACATGTGTCTGTTCAATGTGGTTACAATGTTGTGACTACCTCGGAAATCGATAACTCTTATTTACTGATTGTAGTATCCCACTTCCGGTCTGGAATAAAGGAATTTGATACACCCAGAATCTGTATGAGAGAAATTTTATTCACGACTGAAGAGTGTCGTGGACCTTTGTAACGTGGGAGCTGACAGAGTTATATATAAACATTAGAAATAGCCAAGTCTTGGAATAAAAATGGAATTCAACATTCTCTATCTCCACTGGTGATCGTTTTACGGAAAAGAAACATGGCATGAGAATTATCAACATATTCTATTCTATTAATTTTCGAGATTATTTCACTGGACAATACCAGAACAACAGTGAAACACCAGGACAATTGATTTTTATTATCAGTTGATTACACCAGGGCAATTTAAAAAAAATCAAGCTTTTCACCCTTGACGCTTTAAAAAAAAAATGATTTTGGAAAAAGTTGACTTTTGTCCATTGAATGAATATACAATTATTTCTGCGATTTCATTGGACCTACAAAAGGTTCACTATTCGGGAAACTTTGCCAAAATGGCCAAATGGGCCACCAATGGATCAGAGCTGATGTTGAATGAAAAAATAAAAGAGAGAGAGAGAGAGAGAAACAAGGCACTGACCTTGAAAAAATAAAAGAATAATAGAATTAAATTAATGGAAATGGCATTGAATCCAATCCTCCCCGTGTTATCTCACGTACGCTCTTATCAAATGTGAATGAGACGTTGTGCGATAAATTACCCAGCGTCTCTTTAAAGCCCAACTGTATAGTTATCTCGATGAGCGAGCCACTTTCGGATTGTGCAAAACACGCAAGCGATTCTCGATCTCTCGATCCCTATAGTGATGCCGAGAGGGCTCTCGTAAGCTCTCTCTCCCCTCCCCATTCACACAGCAACTCCATCCCCACCCTCAGTCTCACACTC